GAGGCGAGAAATAAGTTGAATGTTATTATGTAGATCGATTTGGCTTGCTATTTTTAGTTCGTATTATCTACTGAAATCTCGATAAACTTTTCGAGAAATGCAGTATGATAAGACTGGATAGAGTGGATGATTTATTCGAAATTTGTCATTTTTTGTATTGTAAGAAAAAGAAAAATGAGGAATTTCAACTAAATCGAGCGCTCAAACGCAAATGTCAATCACAGCTCAGTTTTCGAAAGGAAGTAAAAATAAAGAGAAGCGAAGCAGCACACGCGCACAAACGAAGTTTTAAGCAGAGCGCGTGGGCAACAATCGACAGGCTGCGTAACAATAAAGCTATTAGGCAGCTTTCGCTCCGGGAGCGCGCGAGGAATCCAACAAGTTAGTCGCGGCACGTTTCACTTGCTCGCCTCATAAAAGCTCGCTCTAAGCATTCGCCGCGCAGCTGCAATAACTCGCGAGTTTTAACCCCTCCTCCAACCCCGGACCCCCCACGGTTCATAGAATTTACATTGCGCAACCAAACTTTTACGCCAACAAACAAGAAATTGGTTATTCATAATGTATGGCGCGCGAAAATCCAAGTTAGATCTTTGCTTGTACAGCCGGGGGACAATCGCGTTGCGTCTATATCGGCGACGTGAAACAAACTCGCGCGGATATTGTGCCCTGCGGTTGGTGGTTGCTTTATGTAATAGCGGCGCGTGATGTAAAACGTGCTCATATCACCGAAAGCAAAGTTATTTATCGAAATCGATTTTCCCTGTCATACGTAATATAACAGCACGGTAATAATAAGCCCGTTTCGCTTTATATTTAACCATTGGAACGCAAGAAAATAGAATTAAAAAGCAAGCTCAACAAGTTTAATCGAATCCGAGTAGGGGTTACTTTCTAGCTCCAAGATTTGCTCGCTTACGAGCGAGCTAAAGCAAATAAAAGCGGTTTTAATAAATATTAGATTCGCAGATTCCATTTTCAAGTAGGACTGAGTCCTGCGATTTAATAAAGAAAAAACTTTGAATTTGACTTGTTTTTCGAGAGAACCCCATTCATTCGTGTTTGTCGATGCATATAGGTATTGTTACTTTTGACGACAGACAACGAAACTCTGACTTAGCTCGAACCGCGTAGGCACATATATATCGCAGTGACAAAAGGGAGAGCGAAGAGAAGACCGGCTACAGTCGATTTCCTCGAAAGCTTAGCTTGATACAGGCCAGAAACTGTAATCTCATATATCCGACGGCGAACTTAAGATCCAAACTGAATCCTTAGCTGCAAGTTTACCAATATTCCATACACTTGGCCCCTTAGCCAACTTGGAGCAACTCTGCTACGAGAGCGGAGAGGGCGAGGGGTTCATTGTCTTGAGGTCAAAGGGGCTGTGCCGCCAAACAGTTTCTACCTAAAAACTCGGCAAACTCTGCTCGCAAGAGAATATTGCGCTTTCGCGCAATTGGCGCGCTCGTTCGGGAGGCAGAGACAAGTCGCGAGCAGTATAGAGGAAACGCTCTTGAACGGGCCTCGATATAGGATTTCCGACGCTGCTTCCCTGCTCCCCCGTCGTCGCTTACCTTTATTTTTTATTGTTTCGATATGCACCCCAAACGACAATGTGCTACGTTTTCGAGTTTGCTACTTTCTCGCTTTTATGAGTTTCTCCTTGTTAATATTATACGGAGCGTATGGATCTCCGCACGTACGAGAGCTGGACCGCACAAGTTTTGCCAAGTGAAATCCCTAATATGGACCTTCTTATCGAGTGAATGACTTCAAGATAAATAAAAGTTGTACAAGTGGTGCCAATTCGGATATTTTTTTCCATTAGCGACGCTTCCACGTCGGACCGCTAGTTCAGAAGCAAATATTAATTTGCAGTGTATAAAATTTTCAACATTTTATTAACCGTCGAGAGAAGAGACGCTCGATTCGAGCTTTCAAAATGAAAAAGACGGGGCTCCGTAAAGTAGTAATGGAATCTGTTCTTTAGAGCTTGGGCCAGGAAAGCGTCGTGGATGAGCGCCAGCGCGCGACCCCTAAAAAATGCATAAAGCACATCGCGCTGCATTAACAATCTCTAATTACTCTGCAGTCGAGTCTCTTTTTCCGCTTTCTTTTTTTTTTCTACGCTCGCTGGTAATATTCCTAAGGTAAAAATTGAATTACAGCAGCAAGGCGAATATAAGCGCGCTTCCTTCTTGCCCGGCATCATCGTTAATTTATCCCGGAGCTTTTATCCCTTGGCCGCGCCGCCGCGCCGCCGCGCCGCCGCGCCGCCGCTCTTTTCTCACCGAAGCATCTGAAAGGTTTTTACTTGGCGAGCGGCTCCCTTACACGCAGGCAACGCTGGCTAAATTATTCGCCAAGCCTCGCGCACGGATGGAACAAAAAAAAATTTCAGTCGGCTCCTCTCCTCTTTTTATCGTTATCTACGACGCGCTGCCTTGAAAATTATTTTTTTCATCGGCTTATACCTTAGGACTTGACCGGCAAGCTCCTCTTTAACATTCACTTTTGTTCTAGTAGTCGTTTCCGACATTGTCGCTTTCTTTTTTTTTCTTTTTTTTGAAAAATGTCAAAGCTCCTCGTCGGAACACGATAAAGATAGCTTGAATAATTTAGGCGGAATTGCGGCGGAGACCCTAAAACGAAGCGGCGAAAAGTGAGACGATGGCACATCTCGTTGATTCTGTAAATCGCAGCCATTGTCTGCGAGCTTCGGCGCCGCCGGCTGTTTATTCATTCGATCTGCCGATACCGCTCGCGCCAGCGTATATCCGATAAGAAGCCTACCTCTGCTGCTCGCAATTGTCTTTTCCGAGTGCGAGCCCGCGGCGCAATGCCTTAAGTGTCGGCATTCAGCTTGCTGCGACGACACGTGTGCGCCACGACGGCAGATGCTGCTGCTCCGGAGACGAGGGAACTGAAAGACGCGACACGTACACGGCAGCACGCAACTTGGATTTGATGAGAGGGCAAAGTACAAAGAGCAAACACAAATGGCACGTCGTTTATTTTCCTCGCTCTTTTCTCTCGCCTCGAATATACCGTTATGATTGCGAACGCCGGGGAAAAGAGCAGCGAAATGGCGCAGTTCCCGCGGAAAATGCCCCGAAGCGAAAATTTAGCAGCACAGCGAGAGCTGCAGCGAGGAGGAGCGGCGGCCTCCGCTATCTGGCTGTTCGCACGCCGCGTGTCCAGCCAGCGGCGCAGCTGCTAACAGCCGATAACAAGCGCGATCTTGCGGTGCGCCCGGGACACGTACATCGCAGCGGCGTGGCGTACGTAGCGTTCGAAGCGCGCCAACACACAACAGGCACGCCAGCCCAACTGCGAATTGCACGCACGTATTTTCGGCGCCGCGCGCACACCTGCGCGCATCCGTCAATCGCGGTTTGTTCGCTAACGAGGGCATCCTCCCACCCTCCCGCGCGACTCGCGCGGCTCGTGGGCTAATCTCGTTTCTCGTCACTCGTCGCCCGCGAGACATGACGAATGATTCGCCGAATTTGTCTTCGGGAAAAATTAAAACGAAGGAAACGATTCGCCGATTCGCCGATTCGCCGATTCGCCGGGCGTTGGCGGTGCGCTCAGCGTTATTTGGTGAGCTGCCAAAGGCGGAAACCGCATCAAATTGCCCTCGACGCACTCGCGCGAAGCTGCAACGCGATGGAAATAAAGCTCGCTCGGTTTGCGCTGCCTCTGGCGCCGCCCACCCTCCCGTCGCGGATAGTTCATAACCGCAATATTTCAAGCTCTCCGCGCGGCCGTTCGCATCCGAACCCGCGCGCTTATCATTCCTCGGCTAAATGACCGCTGCCCCCTGCGTGACGACATATCCTTTCAGGCGGCTCTTCCTGTCGCTCTTCCGTGCGATAGTTAAAAACGCCTCGAGTGTCATTGATATCGGAGCACGATGAGCTTGTGTTCTTGTGTTTTTGGTCGTTGCACGCCTTCACTCGCAAGCTACCACACTCGAGCTACGCAGCCAGTCTCCCGCGCGTAACTTCTTGATTAATTTCAACAAACTCTAACGAAACTCGATAACCCACGCAGCCGACACTAACCCTTACTTGGTCAATACCTTCTAAATATTCATCTTGCGAAAATTTTATTCGGAGAATCCTTAAATAGTTGCTGTGAAATTTAACCAAGACGTACCTGGTCCGTTAACTAAAAAACGCAGTTTCGCATTGAAACGTTTCTACAGTGGACAAGCGAAGCTCGGTCGGATGAAATCTTTAGACAAACATAATTAACGCAATAAAGAGAAAGAGACATAACAATCCGTCATTCTCTAATATCTCTCGGAACTTTCAGCCGTCCTCGCGCGCGGAACCCACTAACAAAATCACTTACAGTTCCGCGAAGAAAACTCTCTCTGGAAGCCGCACACGCTGGGCGAAACTACGACAGATTCTGCCCGCAAAACTTTCCTTTCGCGCGAGCCCAACATAATAACAATGATGATAATAACGAGCGCGACCCGACAAGAGTCACGTCGGCAGTTTGCAATATATTCGTACACGAGGGCGCTAACTGCCGAGAACAAGGGCGATTCTGCGGCGCGCTCCGAACACGTACTTCCCTCTGCCGACCAGCTCTCGCTCTTTTCACTCGATTCGGGAGACGACGCGCCGCCGTGGCGCTTCTACGCGAGCGTTTCGGCGCGAGTGCATCGGCGAAAGATAACATCGCGGATAAATGTCGGCAGGAGTTAATGGAACGAATGCGGCGCCGGTATTCGAATAGCAATTGTTAATTATACTTACGTAAATAGAAAGTTTCGCTGGTGTAAATGTGCGCGAACGAGGTATCGAGTGGACTCGGAAACCTTTCCAAACGCACGGCCGAGCGATCGGCTGCCATGTACATGCAGACGCGAACTCTCGCGCACGCTGCCGGGATTAATGTAATCCATTAGCGCTTATACTCGGCGGGCCAAAAGTCAGGCGCAATCTCTCATCTGCCGGCGGCGGTCGTCCAAGGCAATCTGGCTAGTAGCCGGCGCGATCGTGACTTTGCAACTGCTGGATCGTCCAGAGGCCAGCAGCCGTCGGATCGCGGCTCTCCGGCAGCACTATCAGCAGAACGATGGCGTGAGCCCCCGTGACGAGGGCCGCCGTCCAGAACGAGCACGGCCGGCCGTACGAGCTGGCGATCACCTGTTGACCATCGCGCGTGAGCTTTAGCTTTTTACGTCGGCTCCACTGTTTAGGGCGCGGGATAAAGGAGGCTGCAGGGAACTACATTCCTCGAGGATTAAAACCCGCATAACGGCTAGCTTTTAAAGTGTGCGTGCTTTGGGAATTCACGAGCAAAAATCAATCGAAACGAATAAAATCGGTCTTGCGTTTTTCTTTTTTCTTTTTTTTTCATTTCTCACGTTACATCGTGGCGCGCCATCGAGAAGGGAAAATCAAAAGTATACGGCAAAAAGACTAGCAGCGCGGAGTCGTTCGCTGGCTTGATTTATCGAGCTCAGTACGAATCGCTGGCTCCATCGTGCGTGCACTTGATAAAAAAGAAAAGTATAGAGGTATAAAGTTCCAGCGGGAGAATTGTCTTTTGGCGGACGCCGGCGCAACGAGCAAGTAGTGTAGCACGGCTATAGGCAGACGATAATGCGGTAGCTGTTAAAACGCGCCAGACCTTTTTTGTTCCTTCGTCGCGGCTACGAGGACAACATTTTTCCTTTTGCAGAGGGGCGGTTCTTTCTTGAAAGCTGTTACGCTAGTATCGATTTCGAATTTTCAATTACAGAAGCAGATATTTTTCTGAATTAGAATCCATTGTGAGTCATTCAAATGCGAACGCCAGGCAGAAGAGAAAACTCACCAAAGTTTGGTAATAACGAAGATGGACGAACACGCAGCGGTGTTCTGCAGGGCAGAGCCAAAATTACGAGGTCCATCGATAGGCTCTCAGCGGCAAGAACAGTGGCCACAGTGGCAAGCCCGATGCCGTAAGCGACGGCGAAGACGACGATGCAGACGAGCGACAAGAGTGGCAGAGGAGAGATCGTCTGACTGGGTGTGTCGGTGCCCAAGTGGAAGTGGAGTCCCAGAAGTGCCATGCAACCTGTGCACAAGAGGCAACTCCAGGCCACAAGGGGGCGACGACCTACGCGTTCGACCACGCAGCCGCTCGCTAGCGTGCAGCAGAGATCGATCAAGCCCAACAGCAACGACACGTAGAGTCCCGGTATTACCGAGACGTTGCGCTCGAAGATCAGCTGAGGGTATGAGTGCATCGCCGCCATTCGCGAAAATTGCTGCGCTGCATACCAAAGCATACGCACAAACCTTGTCTTTTATTTCGTCGGATGAAAAGGAACGCCCTTCTTTTTTGATATACAAAAACGTGCTCTTTTTATTACGTGTCAAAGCGCTATCCTTTCAATTTGATCGCTCGCTCTAGCGTTTAAAGCGAAATAAAGGAAACACGCGTTCGCACATATTGAACCTTCGCGCGCGCGCGAATTTTCCGGGCGTTGGACTTCAAAGCTATACGGATTTATATGATGGCGCAATTGATTGCATTCACTGGGATCCCTTTGTTTAACCTTTCCTCTATGGCGCGCCATTCTATTCGATTACATGGTTTATTCGTTTATTTTTACTTTCGATAAAATGTAATTAAATCGCGTAGCAATTCCATCAAAATATTTTTGTTTAAACTCACCCGTCGTAAGTACTACGATCAGTAGTAAAGCTCTTCTGCTAGCCACGTCGCCAATCACTCTCGTCAATCTACTTATTAAACGGTTGTTTCTATCATTCACAACTCTTCGGTCAAAGAACTCTGCAATCTCATGTAGTTCGCGATACACGTCTTTCCTTCTTCTCAATTTCCTCAGACTGTCCAATACCTCGTCAGGCCTCGACTGTCTCATCAACCAAAAAGGCGTTTCTGGCGCAGCAATGAAATAAATACCAGACAGTAACAACACCACGGTTAGATAAACTCCAGTTGCTGAACTAATGCTAAAACAAGGTCCAACAGCGAAGCTCAATAAAACGCCAACGTGTACACTGACGCAGAAATCGACGGACATGTTACTTCGTAGTCGTGCTGGCGAAATCTCCGAGAGATACATCTCCGTCTGATGACACATTATACCACCAGTAAGCCCCAGAACTATCCGGTCGAACGTGAGTTGCTGCTCATCGAACAAAGCAAAAAAATGTCATTTGTCAATCGTAACTCACTTCACCACTCCGACAACAGCACGAATAAAGGTCCTTTGTTGTTCCGAAACACTCGATCTTCAAACCAGTCGAAATCCGTGGGATGCCGGCGCAAGAAAAAAAAGAACGACACAAAAGCGCGATCATCGATCACGGCCTCACCCAAGAACTGGCAGCCACGGCGATAATAGACCATCCGGTAGTGAGCGGTAAACAAGCCAGTAAAAAGAGTTTACGTTTTCCAAGTGTCGCAGCTACGTATAGCGAGACGAAACCACCGACCAGCATCCCTGGGAAAAAGATGCCGGTGATCCAAGTGGCCTCGGAGTCTGTGAACGCTGGACTGTACTGATTTGATGAGAGAAGTTGTGGGATTGCTGCTTGAGGCCAACCGGCGAGGTTACCTACTGCTACTCCGGTGAGACATGTTGCAATTACGAAGACAAGATTTTACTTTGTTTTCTCTTCTTTTGATGAAGTTGAAAAAGTCAACGAACTATCGTTAGTTTTATTGCATAATACCCGAGCTTCAGCAGCAAATAACGGACAATATTCGTAAGACGAATTTTCGTGCGCATTTGATCTGACGTTGAACGTAAAATCCTCGTGAATAATGAATTTTCAATATCGTTCACACTTAATTATTTCTGGTTTAGCTATTTCAATGAGACTCTCGTCCGTTATATTATCATAACGCGAACATTGTATCGATCTAAATATCATCTGTTTCAGAATTAGATTTTGCTAAACAAAGACATGAGTTCCTTGTACAAATAAAAATTTCATTGTCTGTAATTCTCTGCTCTCTTCGTTCATTGCTAAATTGCAATGAATGAGAATATTAATTTAAGAATAAAGTAACAATTTGTAAATAGAAACAAGGCAATCTACGAATTACTGTAAGTCGAGAGCATAAATTTATTCAAAGCGAGTCTCACGTCAGTCTGTACTTATGTCACAACAGCACAACTGTCATCGTGTACTTGCTAATGCAACAGCGCCAAAAGTTCGTCTACTACTCTGCGGCTGTCGTGGCTCTTCCATAACGACTGCCAATCGGATTCTGAGCAAGATACGCGCCTTTCGGAACTACATAAGCGAGCCGAGCAGCCTCGCGGATGCTCCATCAGCGCTTGCTCGAATAAATTTTTACAAAAACAGGGAAACTCTCTCGGTGCGCATGAGCTAACTGTGTGTCACATACCAAGATCGTATCGCTTAGAGGCAATTGCTGGAATGCCGCGAAAATGCACTCACGCGCAAATTGGTCAAGCGGAGAATTTTTAGAATGTAATTTGCCGATGTTACAGTGAGTTATAAATATGTTGAATAAAATACCAATTTTCGATATTTTTGTACCAAACTTCTTTTCTATTAACGTGTCAGTTTAATCTCAAAGATAAGAATATTATTGAAATGTGTTATCAATGAAATATGGAATCGATTCGTAGCAATGTTTCAGTATTCACTTCAAAATATTTTTTCCGTTTGATAATCAGCCTATTATTAATTTAAAATCAAGGAATAGAAATTGAAGAATCATTTATTTATTATTAATAATTATCTGTAAAAGATTCTTGCAAAAACATTGATAAAATTAGTTCATCGTGAATCAGCATGCTAATTTCAAGTAATTGATGTTCTTAATTACTTTTCAATAAAATGCACAAGAATTGGTCAATTACTAAAGGCGCCTTATAAGCTAATAACCATGAATTCCATAGACTGTTCATTGGAAGAAAATTGTAGGTAAGAAAACTTTCAATGATCTGTCGGTAACTGCCTAATTTGTATGATTTCGATATAAAAGAAAAATTATTTGAATTTGAAAGAGTAATTTGTCGACATAATTCTATAAATAAGCTGTGAGATAGGACAATATCACACAAATAACGGTTGCCGTTTGAGAATTCAAAAGCTTTTAAGAAACGTACAGGGCAGTCGAAGAAAAACCAGCAGTCTCCATCGATAAGACTTTATTCGCGTTATAACGTGGCAGACATACTACAGAAAATTTATTGGCTAATCTCGCATAATTGTTAGCACGAGCAACATTGTACGCGTTGGTTTGCTCGTGACGTTCAATTTGAGATGGCGTCTTCTTGAAAGATACTCGTCAGCTGGCAAGATGAGGAAAAGCACGTATCGATAGAGGCTAATCCGAAGGAAGAACAACTCATAGTGGGGCACAATTTCTGTCAATGGAGCAGCAGCTTGGCAATTTGGCCCAAAGACTTGGCAGGCATCTCGCTCGCCGGGGAAACTATCGCGCCGCAGCAAAGAAAATAACAATCTAATTTACGCAAGCGAGCGCAAGTCGGAGCGCCTCGGGCAGGTAACTATGCAAATGCGGGCATCTCTTTCGGCGCTCACTGATTGGACGACCCTCTTAACCATCTAACTTTAACTATTACCCCTATGGCTGCGGACTGGTAGCGAGGTGAACGAGCTTGCGCCGTATAGCTGTACGCGCATATACATGCGCGGAATAGTTGCCGCTGCTTGTTGCGGATAATCGTCGCTGCGATTTCACCAATTATTACTTCGGCCAAGCTGTTCGACTCTTTTGGTCTGCGCTACCGCGATTACTGCTCGCGTGGATCGATTCTATCTTATCGGTGGTGTGACGATTCGATTAGGAAAAATATAAGAATGATTTTCAGAAAATGATGCTAAATTAAACAGTTTATAGTAATCGACAACAAGGGCATTTTCCATTTTCGGCAAAAATAGCACTTTCCATGTGGGACCTGTGCCGAGAATACAAGAACTTTGCAATTCTTTCGGAATAAGAAGTTATATAGACCAGAAAGCAGTCTGAGCCCACTAGTTTATATTCCGCCGTTCTTTGGTTTTTCTCGAATCCAATTCCGATTTCAGGAAAAGCGACAATATCTCAAATACGAATCCACTCACCTCCCAAAAAATTACATAATAAAAGGTACTTTCTAGCTGCGCACGTCTAAGATACAATTTACATTTGGTATCGCGTTTATGCGCGAAGTGAAGGACAACCTTTTGATCCAGAAGACTTTTCTTAAGCGAATACTCTCTGCTGAGCAGCCAAAAGGAAAAGCCGAGCATTCCCCCCCCCCCCTCTCTTTCTCTTATGCGCGGCAAAGGAAAAGCTAGTGCAAAAGCTTCCATCAGTTCGGCCAAACAATTTGCTCATAAATTCCGCAGGCTGCACCGAGTACCACAAATTTTTTTTGTTTTTCTTCGTCTCTCATTCAAGTACGAAAGAGAGAGAGAGAGAAAGAGGGAGTGAAAGGTAGATTTGAAAAGGACTAGCTTGTACCGCAAAACACACTCAACTGTATTTTTAATTCTCCGTTGAGGGTAGGCGCTCGGTTAATCCCTAGGTCTCTTCTTTTTTTTTTGTTTGATTCTCTAGTATTTCACCGATAATTGAGGAGCAGCTTAAATTTTTTCAAATCGAACGATAAATACATCTAGAGAAAAACTGAATTAGCTTCCCAATGAATGCTTTCAATCGGATACATATACGCGTTACCCTCTACCTCAAAATTTCCATTTCGTTCCGAAAACTCGGTTCTCTCTCTCTCTCTCTCTCTCTCTCTCTCTCTCTCTCTCTCTCTCTCTCTCTCTCTCTCTCGGACAAAAGGGATCTTTTATGCAACAGCTTGAATCGAACACACAATGCGCGCCCCAGAGAGAGAGAGAGAAACTACTACTCGCCGAAAAAAAAGAAAAAAGTTAAACAAAAAAGCGCAAGAATATTCATAACCGCCGGCTTATATACACACGTAACAATGCGAAAAGACTACATTACGCGCGCGCCTTTTGTTTCGCGAGGTAGGAATATTAAGACTGTTTTCATAAGTACAGGAAAGGCGAATGTCGCTGGCGCGAGCTTTGTTTCTAAATGCAAAATTTTATCGATCCTGATAAGCTGGTCGGAGAAAGCGAAATAGCACCTACTCCCGCGACAAGCTATATAGCCGCGCAGAATTGAAGTTCCGTGATACGGCAACTCTCGCTTGGCTTTTTTTTTAAAGCTTCTCCCATTTGTTGTTGTTGCGGGCTGAGTTCGCTCTTTTCTCTTCTCGAGCCGCTTGAACTCAGTCGATAACCCAACTGATGAAACATTCGCGATGATTAAAATCATTCAAAAGTATATTTTAGACTTGAATGATACATCAGTGTCCAGTCGCCGTCGTTCTCATTACTGACTGCCATATTGAATTGACGATACTTGTGATAGGAAATTTTTATAATCGAGCAGGACTAATATTCGAGTTAGTGGCTCTAATAATTAATATTGGAATATCGAGTGATCATCAGCTATAAGTGCCAATCAGAAGGACGCATCGCAGAAGAAAAGATGTCTTGTACATTGTCTCCTCTCTTGTTTACATATAAATGCTCGAAGATAAACTCGAACCTAGGCGAGGCACAGACGCACACAAAGGAGGTAGATACACGCGCCTCTGAAGCCCCGGGGACAACAAGACTAAGGAGGGTTCGCTCTATACTCTCGTACACGCGTTTTCGTCTATATGCACGCTCAATGTAGGCAAACGCCATTTTCGCTCGAGAAGGGCCGCCGCCCGCCGTAACCGCTTCTCGACACGACCGCGATGGAATTCAATTTTCCACGGACAACTTGATACGAAAAGTTCAAGTTTCTTGCAGCTTTCAAAGCTGTTTGTGCTAATAACCTGCTGCCGCCTGCTAATTTCTTACAACTTTATCCCATTATCCGTGGAAGCTTCGTTTCACCAGCTCCATTTAGTGCTTTAGCATTGTTCTTCGTCCGATCTCAAGTCTCGATTATCTCAACAATAAAAGGGGCTTTATCGATATATGCTTGTATATGTATATGTGTATCTATATATATACACACATACACGCACATGAGCTAGTGAATCTCGTCTCTGATAATGAGTAAAAAATATTAAAAATTAAAATAATTCAATTTAAAATTTATTTAAAAATTATGCCGAAGTGTACGAGAATCTTGAATCAAGAACTTTCTGAGCTCAAAAGTCTGAAAAGTTTTCGAAAATTTCTTGCAGTATCTTGAAATATTGCCTGACAAACATCGACAAAACATTGCATGTGTAGCCAATAAGAAAAAAAGTAGATCAACGTTTGTATATTGGTATACATACATGCAGATCACAGCCACAAAGCAAACTCTCGAACCCGTATAATCGTAGCAATATAGGCAAGAGCTAGCAAGGGTCATCGTTCATTCAGGCGTGAAAGCTCTCTCTCACTAGCAGACCCTTTTGCCTCACAAATCTGGTCGCTCTATCAATTACTTTAACGCATCGATGATAAATCTTGAATGCTCTTGCCTTTGGTTATCTATTGGAATAATCGCGAACGATTGGCGCAGTGCGCGCCAAGCCAACTCTGCGCGTACGCATGAGCAAGTCCACTTTCCTAATTGGACG